TGTTTTTCCCATAGAAAATGACAGAGATAACGATACGTATCAAGACAAATATGCAATCAGAATTACATTGTAACTCTTTTTATAATAAACTTATTAAGTAATAACTTAAATGAACTTAATATAAGATTAAATCAATAAGTAAATATTTTTAAGACATGTTTTAAGGCTAACATTTTGGAGAGTTCACAAAATGAAAGCTTTGTTTTAGAATGATGTCTATTATAAATTTTTGATATATGTTTTGAATGCCTTAAATCTAGAAATTATAGAGTTTACGATCTAAAATACATTGATGATTTATATTATGTTAGGTTATATATGTATCTAAAGTAGCTATATATCTCCACGCAATTATATTTAATGACCTAAAATATAGTTTCTTATTTATTTATTAAATTGTCTTATGTGAATTTATCCTATTACACAAAAGTCAACAAGAAGAATATAGATTTATTAATAATTGTCGTTTATTAGCGTTTTAAAATATCTATAATTCCAATAACAATATCACATACGATAACTAGACAATAATTATTATTAATAATAACAATCAACAACCACCACCTAGATACATTCGATGATATTTAGTTTATTTATAGAAAATACTTCGCTTAATATTAATTCGTATGGTATTATTCATTTATATGTGCGCTATGACATCATGGCAAATGCTATATAACAAGCAATTTCAAAATACACACATTGTACGACAACTTAAATATAATCACCTTAAAATAATGTCTTTTATCCAAATTATATGTTACATTTCTTTACTGTAAATGAAGAAAAAGCTACCGTTTTATCATTAATAAAAATTATATATTGATAATCGACGATATTTTTTTATTTGTTTGTAAAAAAAAAACAGAATAATAATACCAAAGATAAGCAAGGAAAAATAAATTTAAATAGTAAAGTATTTGTCAAATGTTGAAGTAGATTTTAATTGCATGAAATAGACACACATTCGTACGGGCGCTTTTCTAACGCATAGGACAGAGCGATTAAAATGCGACGGTTTTTTATCGCGCAGTATTACATTTCGAGCGCTGTACGAACGGAATAAGAGTGATTTTAAAGTGTTCGCCGCTCGAGAGTCGCCCGTGTACATGAGCGCCCGAGTGAATGAGCGCTTTGAGTGAGTCGTTTGGAAAATGCATTATCAAATGATTGAAAAAATGTATTCACAAAAATATATATGATATAGTTATAATGATATTTTATTGTATTTTTTCCATTTTTTTTCCACATAGAGATAAATTGGAGAATAGTTTATAGCAAGTGACACACACTACAATATGAATTACGTATAGAGATAAGAATATTATGACCTTATTCTAACATTAAGTTTCGTTTAGTGCCATCGCCTCTTGTTACCGATTGTTTAGCGTTTCTACGGAGACTTAAAAGTAGTCAACAGTTTTAAAACACCGCTATGAAATACATTTCTAGACAACGAATAATCTTTATTATCTAAAGGGTAAAATCTAACGAAATTTTGGATTATAAAGTTGTAAAAGTTATATCAAAAACAGTGACGTCACAAAACTACCCCACCCCACCCAGCTGATACCTGCGCCACGTCACAACTCTACTGACCGTTTTATATTTCAAATAATTATACAACTATTTACGATACACCAAATAAGAAAAAAACAAAAAAAAGACAATAACGTATCGTAAGCTTTTTTCTCGACCGTAAGACCCTTTTCAAAATTTAACCGGGTTCAATGAACTCCCGTGAATATTTCCCACTATTGTACATTCTCGATCATTCGTGGACATCAGGGAGTTCTGGATCTCTTTGGGAACAGAGCGTTTGTTAGCTTGAATCGCTTTAAATACATATTTACGATATTTTTCTCAACTTAACAACAAGTTACATTAAAGAATGGGGAATAATCGTCTAATATACCAAATAAGAAAATCATTATTCGAAATAATAATCTGTCAGGAACTGCGTTCCTCATATATTGATTCTTAATAACTTTGCTCAGTAAATAACGCAAAAGAAGTCGTTAATTTTGTTTGAATCCAACAGTTACTGATATTAAAGATTGAAGTATCTTTAAGCAAAACTTAAATTATAATAAATAAGTAATTAACGTCGCTAAATTAAGCTTAAATAGTTACTATTTTACCAAACAATCATATTATATCTAATAAGAAAAAATATGCTTTGGACAATCGTATTTAACGTGAAATTTCAGTGAATACCACGATATTGTCTGTGTCCCTGTACATCGCGTGTTAACAACAAGCCAGAGACGGATCACTTTCTACTAACGGAGTAATCTATAACGCTCAGACCGATCTACTCGCGGACGGTATCTAGAAGCGAGAAAATTATTATACGAAAAAAAACTAATAACATAGAGCTTATATATTAAGTGAAATCAACCTTATAATACCTTATATTAAAGTTGATTATTTATTAACTCTTAAAAATAAAAGACAAAATAGAATAACACGCGCGATAAATAAATATCTGAGGGTGATAACGTCCTATAGTCATACAAAGTTACTAAAGTTGACAGCAAATGTATGTTTACTCAGCTTTTCATACACACATTTTAACTTGAATGCCTTGTTGTGAAATCTTTACAAGAAAAAATATATATACGCACCCGAATCTTGCTCTAAGTGTTATGTTATTGTGCACGCGTTGTATTCCGCCTTTATTATTCTAACGTGTTTGTTAATATCCCATTTCTATAGTCTCACAAACTGTACGGATAACGAGTCTCATGCAATACGCATAAAAATATTAGTAATCTAATCAGAACTTTATATAATACAAAATAAAAAAAAAAACAAAATAACCTATAAATTGACTTAATTTAAATTATCAAAAACTTGCAAGATTAAGATAAAGTCACGTGTTAGTTTTCCGCCATATTGGATCATTCATATTTTTGTACATTTTTCTAGTTAGTTGTGACAAACCAGTGGAGACATTTAAAGCGAGAATATCAGATATATAATAATAACAACATCTATATCGATTCTAACACGTATTTTATATTTAAATCCAATGAATGGAACTTCTTAAATTGATAAGAAAATACGTCAGAATCGAGACTAAGAAGGTTAAAAGTTGGGAGAATCTTTATCGAATACTTGTATTTACATTGTTAGTAATAATTTTAATATTTTATTGTGAAACTGTTATTTATAACAGAGAAATTACACGAAATACATTAAACAATTTCAAGTAAAGATGAAATTTGTACGAAAGAGATGACAATATGTTTTTATGCAATTATTTAGACAGTGTAAACTCACAGCACTAACAATATAAATACAACATCATCTAGATTTATATATCAAGGTATATAAATACAATTTGGAAATACATAATATACTTTAGTAATTATAAAGATCACATCGATAGCCATACAAGCTAGTACAGACAGACAAACTAGATGCGCACGATGAAATATATATATATATGTAAACTTTAATCCTAACTTACAACAGTTAATATTGAGATATTAGTATTGTCTAAAGTACACACATTTCAGTTTATATTAATGTATCTAGCGAAGATTAATGTTAAAGAGATATATGAAAAAATAACTAGCTAAATAAATCTTTATGATCTGTTTATCCGATCCGATATGTGAGGCATAAGTTCTAGGCCACATAACATTGGTACATGCATCCGATGCTGCAAATATTTATAACTACAAATTAAATATACATATAACATTCCTCGTCCTATTCCTCAAGAGAACCTAGCACGAATATTTGCAGGCGCTTTCATAACATCATTAACAATGTATGTCACATTTGTGTTTTGTGTCGTGTGTGAACGTCGGTGTAATTTTTTCGAGTTTTGTCGATGACGATACAACGTTCTCACGAATATTATCTGTCATTTCAATAGTCACTGTTGTCACCTTTTAAGAAAGAAAAATTTGACTCACCGTGGATTTCTGAGACTGAGATCCTTGTTTAAAATATATTGCTATCTCTATTTTGTCAAAAGGTATGACAATATGTTTTATACGGAGATTTTGGTCTCACAAACATACGGTAGATCTAATATTATTCATCGTTTCTTAGCAAGGTCCTTCAAATTATGATATTTCAGTTCTAAAATTACTTGTTAATTTATTGTGAATTGTTCAAACAACTGTAAAATATTCTTATCATTCGTGTAGTTTAATATGTATCGTTATATATATTTGCAACAACATAATATAAGCCGTGATACGCGTGACAGATATATTTTTTCGCTTAAAAACACCTTAAATATAATGCTAAGTTAGACAAAATTCAACTTTCAAATATAGTTGTTACAAATCTTCAACAACAATCAAATAGCTTCATCAAAATACAATATTAAACATGTTTTGTTAACGATAACCACATAAAGTTCTCTATAAAATGTATTTAATGAATTTAAATCCAGAATCGAAAGTACTATAGAAAAAAAAATCTTAGCAAAGCGAATATGTATTAAAAAGTACATATATTTCTTATTTTATTATTCAAAGATATAGAGTAAAAGATAATAAATTGACAGCTTTTATATTTAGACGCGTCTTAAAAGACTAATTGATAAAAAAAAATCAGCAAAATAATAGCGAAAAGTTACAGGACAATTGGCAGTTAGAGGTATACAAGCTTCACTAAATTTTAGATTAGAAATATTTTGACTAATAAATAAAATATAATAAAAGTACCTCATTGTATTTGAGTATAATTAATATTATTTTCTCTCATTTTCACTATATTACGTGTTTTTTTTTGTAAATATGTAATATTGTAATTAATATTTAATTAACTAATATGAAAAAATTATATATTTTCTGTTTTTATGTCGTGAAGAATGTGTAAAAAATATGCGCAAAATATTTGAAAAATTAATTTGACGTAGTAAGCGTTTAATTGAGGTATTAAGGCTTTGCATCTAAGTAATGAATTGTTTTTATATTTATTTGAGAGAAAGAAAATGGTACATTTCTTATCTTTTTAATAGCTATATTCTGAGAGATGTTTTTATAGATTTATTTAGGTAATTTAAAAAGGGCAAAAAACATTTAAAGAAATTATTTGTACCTTTGTACCTATTCGTATCAATTCTACTGAAATTTTATTTTAAGTTCGTTGGATATAATTTGTCATTGTTCTATAACATTTTTTTTATATAAATATAACGCACCTTTTTAATAACTAACAAGTTGTAACAATCGTAATGGCAAATTATATTTATTTTGCCGTTATTTATTGCAAATGCTATTTGATAAAACTCTTTCCCAAGTCAATAATCAATAACGGTTTCGGTTAATTACGTTTCTAAATTTAAACATTGCGGCTATTAGCAAACCTTTCGATGTTAAATTTAGAAACGTACGTCACCTATCACATCTTGGACCCCAGATATAATCTCATTGTCATTAGCAACATTTATAACTAAAGCGTTCAAAAATAGATTCATTTATCTGTTCTAAGTGTTTGGGCAACATAACAACCTTATACTATGGATAAAGAAAATTCCTTTTTAAAGGATAACAAGCTACAACAATTGTTATATTGAGGTATATTATTATTACTAACAGTTTCAATTTGTGCCATTTTGTTCGTTGCGCTCGAATTGCACTTTAATATAATTACCATCGTTTCAGATATTTCAAATCTATTACACAACCTACAATAAAATTTACATTTACATTTCATATCGTCAACATTACGACGAAGACTTTAAAACATATAGAGCGGTATGTGCCAGTACCACTGATCTGTGCAAATAGATAGGCGATTCCTTCGAATTGACGAGGTCTGCTCCACTCCGATTTAAACGTACGTGTTGATGTTAAGTGAAAGTTAATTCCTTCTATATAATTAGTTCAAATCCTCAGCAACGCTACCATCAGCGTCAAAATGGAGAAAATCGAATGGGCACAAAATACGATACCTTAAAGCCAGTCCATTTATAAAGGTCAGTGGTCAGTACACAATGATAGCACGCGGATTCACGGTTTGACTTACTTATATACCCAGTTGAAGCTTAAATATACTAATACGATAGTACTAATATTAAATTAAGATAAAGAGTTAAGACGACACACGGATAGACAAAAACGTCAACACTCGCACACAGACAGACAGAGTCTAAATAGTTTTGAACACATTCATTAACTCATTTACTTGACTTCGAGTTTATTAGAAAGCTTGTGACCGAATAATTAACGAAATATCGAATCTATGGAAGACTGGAGCGAAAAATAATATTATCTTTAAATACGCCAAATCTATTGTCTTTTATATTTATCATTTTAAAAGAATCTATTAGGTTTTATCTATGGATAAAAATCATCAAAAAATATCTACCCAGCGTTAACATACGTAAGTTTTAAGCAAGCGTATTTTTATCGAGACATGAAGATTGTATAAGGGATGTACGAGGTGTGTGTGTGGGGATCTCAGTAGATGAATGCGGGGTGCAGCTGGGGGTGCGGGGGGCGCGGCTGCTTGTCCAGTGGGGCGCAGCAGGCGGGCTCGCAGCACGCCGCCCCGAACGCCGCCGGCACAAGCGCGTACTGCGCTGGCGGACCGTATATGGCTGGCGTCGCTGGAATTGTACACCAAAACTTGAAGACTTTGACAAAATATTTTAACTGCTGCACAGGAGTCAGTCATGAAGTAATTTCGCGTTTCGTCTGATGAGTGTGCGTGATGGAAAACTTATTGTAGTTCTTCCTATTATCTTTTTTTTCAAGCCTAAGAATTAGTGTAAACCTCCTATGGAAACATTACTTAAATGAGTGTAGGTTGTGTATACATACTGTCAAATGGCAGTGGATAGATGGCGTAGGGGTGCGGCGGCAGGTCGCAGGGCGCGCAGGCAGGCAGCGGCGCGAGCGGCGGCGCGCACACCAGCTGATAGCACAACGGTCCGGGCAACGTCGCCTGCGCTGCCTCCGCGCTCGCCATCGGCACCTGGCTCATCTGCACACACGACATTACCTATAGGACACATACAAAATTTATATCAGGCCACTAAAACCTCTTTCGTCGAATCGCATTGGTTTCACCTGGTGACTACAAGCAAATTTGTGTCTTGACAGATTACTAACCTGCTTCCTGACAGCCTGAGCCACGCGCAAACGACCCAACGGAGAGAACATCACACCTCCACTCTGAAATTAAAGAAATATTATATTTAATGTAATATGAATAGACTTAACTTTATTGAGAATACTTTCAATCTATTAATGGATGATGACGAGGTCATTAATGTGGATGACGCTACGGTACAATATGCAAAGTGGACCTCGCACTATTCACGATAGGATGAATGGGGTCAAGCTTTGCCTCATTCCCCGCACCCCCCGACCCTAGCCCCGGGGTAAGAGACCTCAAGTGTTTCAACTTAAGCCATATTTAATATTATTCCACCTCACGTTTCTTATAAAGTATCCATACGAGATGTTACATTATTGTACGAATAACAAGGGTCATATTTTATCTCATTATAAAATTTATACGTAAAAGATTTGGTGTAAAATATATCAAAAGCATTCCAACTAAATACACGTCATAAAGATGTCCACATAAACAGAAGCTAAATTCAAATATTGTGAGAAAAATAAGAAGAATAATGTTGGGAATATTAAAAAAGTAATTGATTTGTATCGGAGAAAATGTTCAGATAAAATTGCGTCGCGACAAAGAACCCCTTTACTTTCAATATTCGACAGAAAATCTTTCAAAGAGAAATTATAATGAATAAAATTTTTACAGACGTTGCTAAGGGAGAACAAACTTTATTATTTTAGAGTAATTAACAATTAAGTATTTGGGCTTAGATAGTGAAGGTTTAAGGGTAGTTAATAGATAATAACATAATCTTAAGAGATCTGAAAGTATATCACGAAACATACCGCAACCCACGACTTGTTACCATTAAGAAACAAGTAAGACACGCCTAAATCAAGTGGCATTTGTTTGCTGATGATTATGATTAATGTTTGTAGGATTTTTTCCGAATGCCTGGTCTACATTTGATTTATTTGAATATCTATGGTAGATCTGTATCGACAGAAACCGGCGCCGTCTCTGGCTCGCTGACTCATCATATCCTAACATTACAAATGCAAGGAAAATAAACTTTTTTTTTTATATCATAAGGTGGCAAACGAGCGAGCGGTCACCTGAAATCGCTGAAATAGCGAAGCGACCGTTGCCCACAGACATACGCAATTGCATATGCGTTGCCTACCTTTAATCGACGGAGGAGAGGATGCACAGAAAGAAATTATTTTCCCTTTCCATGCATCCTCTCATCCGGAAAGTCCACTTCCACTTCCCATCCTTTCCTTAAAAGAAAAAGGATGGGAAGGGAAAGAGGACTAATTTTGGCCTTCGGGACGCACACTCATCAGACGAAACGCGGAATTGCTTCCACTTCACGCCTGTCTTCTGTGTGGTCGTGGTATTTCACCGGGCGAGACGGGCCGATTCAAAGCGTTAAAGCGGGCTCTACCACTGTTAAAATATCTTAACCTTAATATATCTTACAGTCTCCTTAGTTTTGACAGAATATTCTCCTTAGAAAGGACTGTTACGAAACGTGGTTTGTTTCCATTGCAGAAACACATGTGTAGATACGCTATTGTCCCTTCAATTGTCTTTGAAAAGTCAGATACTTTTTTATCTAAGAAATAGCTGTTGCTCAGAGTAGCCTATGCGTTCTATGTTAAATTTCAGCAAGTTCTGTCCAGTCGTTTCAGGAGATACCTTCTAACAAACGTCCTTTTCTCCATCCAAAACATTTTCATTTATAATATTAGTAATAAGTGATGAGGAAGATTTCAAAGCTAAAACCTTTTCTATAAGAGTTACTCATAAAACCTCCTTCCTTAATCTTACATAGTAACTATCGATTTATTGGATTCACAACCAACTGGTAAGATAACATTATCATGACTGAATTACAGTATATTTGTTTTTAAATACTAATATTGTTTACTTACTATTTGAGATTATATAAGTTTATGAAGCTATCACTTACATATAGTACATAAATTATACAAACGTTTGAGGTATTTCATAAACATAACATGAAGATAATGTAAAAACCGCAGCACCGAATATCTCTCATCCCTAAATTTTGTGTGGAAATATCGATCATTCCAAACAAGGACAAGTCGCTTCTAATATATTGATAAACCTCAAAGTATGAGTTTGTAATATATTTATTGAATTATAAAATATGAAGATAAATTTACTTAAATATCGAATTTAGTATAAAAAAAATATTTTAATTTTGTACAAAGATTTAATAAGTTGTTTTAAGTCGGACGTCGAAAATATTTTTATATACTAATTAAAAACATTTAAACATAAATATTAAAGAAGATAATATAAATACTCATTAAGAAGAACCTTCAACGAGTTTCCCGGAGCCTCCCTTGACCTGGTTACCGCTCGCAACAAATAGGCCGTCGTCAAGGACCTAATGCGCGTCTCAAAATCCATACCTTGTATTTCAAAATGTATAAAATCAGAGCACATTATATAAAACCATTATGAATAATCTCGAAATATAGGTGTATATAAAACTAATTATTTTATATATTTGAAAAAACTATTACTTTAAAGCTTAGAAAAGCAAGAGAAATAATGTCGTATGAACGCAAAGATTTATAGTCTGTGAGTGCACAGTCAGCAAACTGTGCGACTGACGGCAAAAGAAATTTCATTCCATTTCACGGTACGGTTAAGAAACGTAAGGCTTTCATATCTACATATTATATAGTATTATTTACCGTAATAGAAATAATTTTTAAAATCTCTGTATAAAAAATATCGTCATCCCTGTCATTATCTTTGACAGAACAGAGATAACAATATGTTTTAAACGGAAACTTAAGTCTCAGAAACCCACGGTCAATGTTACTTCATGTATATTCGGTACTAGGAACTCATCAATGCTTATGTTATTTACTTTAATATTGTTTTAAATTAACTTTAAAATAGATTACATTATTTAATTTAACGGATACAATGTTAGGCAGAATCTGAAATTATATTTATTCTACAAACACAATACAATCTCTTAATACGGTTAGAGATCGGTCCGGTCCCAAAATACCATCTGTCCGGAAACGACGGTGTCCGGACGAAACAGGTAAATATGTAACATTACTTTTAATTGTATTTAATAAAAACAAAGTGTATTATTCTTATTTGTATTGTTTGAAAATAAACTAATCTTAACATAATTGATTTTAACCACGCATAAGAGAAATTATTATATAAAATGTTGACGCGACTCCCTCCCCGCGAAATTAAAAAAAACATTCATCCATCCAAGTAAACTTTCGCACGTTTAATATTAGTGTGATTTTAATAAACATAAACATATTGATATTTAAAGAATGTAGATAAAAGATGTATAAGCAACAGCTAATTTTATATAGAAACAATTCAACACAACTAAGTAAAAGCTTTGATTAAAATCTACAGGTCGTTTCGCTTTAAGCATCGCTCTAATGCTCCCGTTAGATGAAAAGGCTTTATATGGAAGCTTAAAGTTCTTTTATTTTAGTTGCCCCAATAAAATGCAGCTAATCTTCCTGGCTGCTGCGATACTGGCAAGTCGTAAAGTAACCGGTTTTAACAGGAATTTACTGGTCTACCCTAAAAGCTATTAATCATATATATAAAATTCTCGTGACACAATGTTAGTTACTATACTCCTTCAAAACTGCTTAACAGATTCTTAATTATATATGCATATTCAGTAGGTCTGAGAATCGGCTACTATGTACTTTTTAATTCCGCTCGAATGGAGCCGCGGACAACAGCTAGTTTCTAACATTTAACATTTTAATATTATTGTTACAGTTTAATTACATCTTAAACCTTTTTAAGTTAAACAAAGAAATATCGTGATCCGGAGATGTTAAGTTACTACTAAGGTACTGTAACCAAAATACCTATTACATAGATATGTTTCGTCCATTAAGACTTACATTTGACCTGTCCTAAGCTAAAACATTTCTAAATTCTAACGTAATTTACAGAACGGAAATAATCCAAAAGTTTTATTTAGCGTAAAACAAAGCGCCCTCTGCCGGCAGACATTAATGATTCAACACTTTATTTCCTCTATCACGACATATGCTTTAAAAAGATTCACATTTTTCACATTATTTAGAACTGCCATTTTATAATGCTATGTCATGTATCATTTCATTTTAAATCATTTTAATGCAAATTACAACAAAATGAATTTCAACTCCGAATTTTTAACTGCGTAGATGAAATTATTATGTTGAAATAAAATTTGGTCCCACTAAAAACAATTTTTTTTGTCTCTATACGTAGGTCTGCAACTTCTCCAGACAGTCCCCGAAACGTCTAGGCCGACTGTGAAGGGACTTTGACATAAAGGAAACTAATGTATGCAGGAATATCATGGGATCCTTTATTCAATGCCGAAGTCAGAGGCACCCAGTTGAAAGTAAAGTCAGTAAGCCCCCACTCAATAAAATGATTTAGCCTTTTTTTGTGAAAAGTTAATAATGAAAAAGATAATCTAAATAAGGACGTATGTGTTCCACTTTATGTAAATAAATGAACCAATAAATAGCTTCATATTGTTAGCTAAAGCGGAATGTTTCTACGTTTATTTAGCTAAATGTATCACATAGATAGCAATCTTGTTCAATTTTCCCCGACACTTGCAGCATCCGGAACATAAAGATAAGCTTCTATCTGTACAGATACTGATTGCATTTAATTTTGTATGATGCAATCTTAAATCTTTTACGATTTAAGTTTCGATTTATAAATAATACACTAATTAATTACAGCATAATACTGGCAGTATGGAAAATAAAAGACGCTATAAAGCGTTTTATGAAAAATGAAATTATTCATCAGTGATTTTGTAATTAGTTTTAGTAAAGAAATACGTAGAAGCATTAAGTTAATATAACAATACTTCCTTTCTTTGGTTAAATTAATTTAACAATAAGGTACATTAATATAAACACTAGACTTGACTAAAAAAAATCTCAGTTAACATCATTAGATTAGACACAAGAAGGCTTTAAAGTTGAGTGAAAGCTCAAGTAAAAGAAATAAAGCTCCGTTGGACTTCGCGAGCGGAGGCTTCTGTGCAACTTTT